GGCACAATGGCATATACCTGTAATCCTAACAACTCAGAGGCTGAGGCAGGAGGATCACAAGTTCAAGGCCAGCCTCAGCAACTTAGCAAGACCCTAAGCAACTGAGTGAGACCCTGTTTCAAAATAAAAAATAAAAGGAGCTGGAGATATAGTTCCCTGGTTAAGTGTCCCTGGGTTCAATCCCTGGTAATGGAGGGAAAAAAAAAATGGTGGGAGGCCTCAAAATTAAAAATGGCCTCTCTATGAAAGACCATACAGAAAAGATGAAAAGACTAAGATACACACTGAGAAAATATATGCAAACTATACATCTATTAAAGGACTGGTATCTAGAATGCATAAGAACTCTCAAGGCTCAACAGGAAGAAGAGGAGGAGGAGGAGGAGCAGAAGGGGGAAGAAGAAGACAAGAAGGAGAAGGAGAACCCCATTAGAAAATGGGCAAAGACTTAAACTGACAATTCACTAAAAAGGACGCACAGATGGCAAACAGCATGTGAATAGATAGATGTTCAGCATCACTAGGAATTAAAGAAATACAAATGAAGACCACAATGGAAAAATCACCTACACACCTCTCAGAATATCTAAAATAAAAAATAGTGACAACACCAAATCCTGTCAAGGATGCAGAAAACTAGATCACTGTATGGTGAGACTGTAATACAATATGGCCACTCTGGTGGTGTCTGCTAAAACTAAACATGCAATAACCAAATGACTCATCGATGGTACTCCTGGTCATTTATCCCAGAAAAATGAAAACTTCTGTTCATGAGAAAACCTGTACATGAATATTCATGGCTTTTATTTGCAAACAGCCCAAAACAGATTCTATCCAGATGTCCTTCAACAGGTGAATGGTAAACAAACAGGCATAACCAAACCAAGTAACACTACTCAGCAATAAAAAGGAATGAAATATTGATTTGCACAAATTGGATGAATCTCCAGGGAATTATGCTGAGTTAAAAAAAAAAAAAAAGCCAGTTACAATGCCAAGATAATTCAATAGAGAAAGAACAGTCTTCTCAATAAACAGTGATGGGATAACTGGATATCCATACACCAAAAAAGGAAGGTGGATCCTACCTCACACCATTTATAAAAGTTAACTCAAAATGGATCAAGAACCTAAATGTAAAGAGTTAAAACTATAAAATTCTTGGGCAAAAAAAATGTAGAAGTGAAACCTCATGACTTTAATTAGACAATGATTTTTTTGATATGATATCAAAAGCACAAACAACAAAGAAAATTAGTTAAGTTGGGCTTTGTCAAAATGAAAACCCTCTGTGATTCAAAGGACACCATCAAGAAAGGGAAAAGACGGCTGGGCAAGGTGACGCACACCTGTAGTCCCAGCTGCTCAGGAGGCTGAGGCAGGAGGATTGCCAAGTTCAAAGCCAGCCTCAGCAAAAGTGAGGTGCTAAACAATTCAGTGAGACCCTGTCTCTAAATAAAATAAAAAATAGGGCTAGGGATGTGGCTCAGTGGTTGAGTACCCCCGAGTTCAATCCCTGGTACCAAAAAAGAAAGAAAAGGAAAAGACAATCCACATATGGGAGAAAACATGTGAAAATATATCCAATGAGAATCTAGTATCCAGAATAAAAAACTTTTTAAAAAACAATAATAAGGGGCTGGGGATGTGGCTCAAGCGGTAGCGCACTCGCCTGGCATGCGTGCGGCCCAGGTTCAATCCTCAGCACCACATACAAAGAAAGATGCTGTGTCTGCCGCAAACTGAAAAATAAATATTAAAAAAAAAATTCTCTCTCTCTCTCTCCCTCTCCTCTTTCTTAAAAAAAAAAAAACAATAATAAAAAGACAACCCACCTTAAAATGGGTAAAAAAAATCTGAATAGATATTTCTACAAAGAAGAAATACAAATCATCATCAATAAACACATGAAAAAAATTATCTGTATCATTTGTCATCAGGGAAATACAAATCAAAACTACAATAAGATACCATTTTATACCCACTAGGATGTAATCCACAGACAGAATAAGTTTTGGCAAGGATGTAGAGAAGCTGAACCCCATCCACTGTGGGGGTGGGGGATGTAAAACGGTACCGCTGCTTTGAAAAGCAGTCCAGTAGCTCCTCAAAAGTTACATGTAGAGTGACCACACGACATATATGATAAATACCCAAAATAAATAAAAATATATCTACCTAAAAACTTGTACATGAATATTCATAGAAATACGGTTCATAATAACCAAACAAGTGTAAACAATCCAAGTGTCCATCAACTCATGAATGGACAAATAAAATGTGATGCATTTATACAATGGAAAATTATTTGGCAATAAAAAGGAACAGGAGTACTGATCTATGCTACAACATTAAATAAACCTTGAAAACGTCATGTTAAATGATGAAGTCAGTATATGTTGCGTGATTCTATCTATGAAATGTCTACAAAGAGGCAAATCAATAGAAAGATAAAGTAGATTAGTGCTTACTAGGGTTCAAGGAACTAGGGTGAAATGGGGAGACGGTTAAAGAATACAAGGTATCCTCTTGGGTTGACAAAATGTTCCAAAATCAATTGTGCTGATGGTTGCATAATTCAGAAAGTTTAGAAACACCGAGATGTACAATTAAATGAGAGAATTTTATGAGATATTAATTATATTACAATAAATACTTACTAAAAATACCCAACAATTCCAAAAGATTATATGCCACATGATTTCATTTACATAACATTTTTTTTAAAAGAGAGAGTGAGAGAGGAGAGAGAGAGAGAGAAAGAGAGAGAGAGAGAGAGAGAATTTTTAATATTTATTTTTTAGTTCTCGGCGGACACAACATCTTTGTTGGTATGTGGTGCTGAGGATCGAACCCGGGCCGCACGCATGCCAGGCAAGCGCGCTACCGCTTGAGCCACATCCCCAGCCCTACATAACATTTTTGAAATGATAAAATTCTAGAAATGAAGTACAGATCAGTTATTATCAAGGGTTTGAGGGTTTAGGGAAAGAGGGGAATATAGTTATAAAAGATCAACACACAGGGCTGGAGATATAGCTCAGTTGGCAGAGTGCTTGCCTCGCATGCACTAGGCTGTGGGTTCAATCCCCAGTACCACCACCAAAAAAAAAAAAAGAGATCAACACAAAAGGTCCTTCAGGTGACTGAACTGTTCAGTATTTGACTTCCGTGATGAAGATATCCAGTGACAAACTGCAAACTGTATAGAACTAAATACACACACATTTATACAAATAAAGTGTAACTGGGCAAGTCTGAATAAGATCTGTACATTGTACCAATGTCAATATCTTGGTTGTAATATACCATAGTTTTGCAAAATGTTATTATTGCAGAAAACAAAGTAAAGTGTACAGGGAATTGCCCTGTGTTTTTCTTACAATCTCATGTGACTCTACACATATCTCAATGAAATTCCAATAAATACAACATACTGAAATCACAAACACTGCTCTCAATTTCTTTTCTGGTTAAACAGTTTCCTCCGGCCCAGGCATACCATGGATCTTAACAACTACTATTTCATGGTTTTTAACAAGGAGGAGACTTCAGGCTCAATGCCCAGTCAAGAGAATCCAGCTAGAATTTATCACACACTTCTATTAGTTATTCTTCTATCTAGATGATATAAAGTAGAACAAAGACTGTGGATTTGGAAGCCAGCCAGTCAAGAGTTCCAGTCCCATCTCTGCCTCTCACTAGGTGTGTTCTTTAACTAGTCACTTCACATCTCTGTCCTTCAGTCACCTCATCTGTAAAATGGGTATGGTGTTGTGGTAAGTTTTAAATCGGGCATGTGTGTGTATACACATATGCTTAAAAGGCTGAAACCGAGTAAAGTAATATCATCTTAACCAAAATAAGAGTTAAGGAAAAGTCATGACGTCTTACTAAGTTTTAGAACACAGATCCAGGTCATACTACCTCTGGGAATGTGCCCTTCTGCCCCCACACTGCCCTGCCCCGTGTCCAGAAGAGGGACCGGAGCAGGAGGTGGCAGCTGTACCTACCTGCACACTTGGTCCGGCTGAGGAGTGGAGGACCTGGGCGGCCAGTGCCGCCATCTCCGGGACGCGTGAGCAGCACACTGATTTCATACTCGGTGTCAGGGTCAAGGTGCCACAGCTTGTAGGTCTGCAGGCTGACTGCATGCACCTCGGCCCATGGGCCACGCGCCATGCGGTACTCGATCTCCTTGCGCACAATCGGCCCATCGCCGATGATGGAGTTGGTGTTGAGCTGGATGATAAGATAGGTGGGGCCCGCACGCAGCAGCTGCGGGGGTGCGATGGGAGTGGGGGGCTCTGCAAAAGGGTGGGGAGCCGGTCAATGCTGCTGTGAGACCCATGCTCCCAACTTTGCATTCCACCACACCCACATCCCCAAGATGCCAGCCTGTCCTCCCAGACCTCTCATGCCTTGGTCCAGGCCAGTTCTCTGACCCCTTCTAAATCCCCAAGCCTTAAGGGGCCACGCTCCAAAGGCTGACCCTGTCCTCACCCTCCAGCCCATATGCACCCCCTCACTCCCCTCTGAACCCCCAAGCCTTGCTCCTATGGCTGATGACACTCGAGCGCTGGTCAACACTTAGAAGGCACTGTCACACACCTCCTCACCAGCTCTCACCTGGACCCGGACTTTGTCTGCCCCACCCTCAGACCCACCTCTGGACCAGGCCATGCCTCAGGGCCGACCCTGCTGCCTTGATTGGACCTCGGCCACCCAGACCCTACCCGCTCTGTCCCATTAGCAGGCCTAGGGGTTCAGCTCACACCCCACCCAGGCGCTGGCCCTACCCTTCCCAACTCCGCCCACCAGGGCCCCACGCCCCCTCCAGCGCCCCTGAGGTCCTCCTGGTAACCCTCACTGACCCTTGACGATAAGCTCCGCGAAGTTAGAGACACCCGCGCCGCGCGGGGCCTGGGACACGCAGCGGTACAGGTCCTGCTCTGCGCGGCTGACCGCGGCCAGCGGGAAGGTGGCCAGAAAGCGCCGGTGGCTGATGTGCCGCACACCGGCCGCGGGCACCAGCGCCCCACTCTGCCGCTGCAGGGGAACAGGAGTGGCAGGGTCAAGGGAGCCGAGGAGAGAGGGATCTGGACCTTGCTCAGACCTGGGTGAGGGTAGGGGTCATTCACCCACCCCTCCTACACAGTAGTCTCACTGTGTGTGCCCCAGAGTGAGGGGCACCCAAGAGGGCAAAGGGAGCCCTGTTGTGGGAGACACCTGGGTATGGGTGCTTAAGTGTGAAGTACTCGGCCCCCCAGGACTAGAATAGGCTATTCACACCCCACCGTACCCCTGGCCAAGGTCTGAGACCTCCCTCACCTGGAGAAGGAAGCGCTCGGCCTCAGCAGCCCGTCCTGCCGCCATACACTGGAAAGACGCGTTCTGGCCGGCATTGACCTCCACATCGCCCAGGCGAGAGAAGTGCGGGGCTTTTGCTGTGGGAACAGAGCCAAGGCATGAGCTAGGCCTGCACCCCACACAGACCAGATCCACAACCATCGCACCCCTCATCCCTGCACCCCCAGTGGCTGGGACTCACCGCAGGGGTAGCTGAGAAGCAGGATGTCATCTAGGCCCATGTAGCCCCTGCGGTCTGGGGAGATGAGGGCCTCAAACAGCACCTGGGGGAGCGGAAGGGCCCTTGTCATTTTGACATCCCTCCATCCCTGTCTAAGGAGGTGTCCACAAGAGCCCCCTATCGCTGGGCTCCTCAATCAGCAGAGGTTAGCCCAGCTCACTCTGACCCTCCCCACCATGCCAGCTGGTTCAGGAGTGTGGTGCCACCACAGAGAGAACAAGGTCAAGGCCAGAGGTTCTCTCCCAATTCTGGACAATTACCTGAAAGCAGCAAAATTCTCCCCAGCCAAACAGGGTGTCTAGGCTGGCACTGTTCCAAGTCACCTCTGGCCCCTGCCATAGGCTACTCCTAGTAACAATGACCTCTGATGCCTGAACCTAGATTCACCCCAGATCAACTCTACCCTTGACCTCAGACTGACCCCTGATGTTGAACAGACTAATCCCATCCTATTCCAATACAAAGTGGCATCCCTCTGCCCTCAGCCCCAGGCACAGGCTGACCACAGTCTGACCCCAGCCCACCTGATATTCATTGGGCCAGAAGGTGCTGACAGCCAGCTCAGCCTGGTGCCACTGACGGCCATGGGATCCAGTCATATTCCAGACAGCGCTGCCCAGGGGGCCCCCGTTAACACGCACATAGACGCCCAGGGTACCAGGGCTGTGGCCATCTCGGCTGTACAGGAAGTAGCTGAACTGCACACAGTGGGTGTCGTTCTCGCTTAAGCTCTGGAAGATGACATGGGCCCGCTGGCCTGGGGCGTGCTGGGAAGCATTGACCATCAAGTAGGCGCCTGGAGGGAGAGAAGGAAGAGGTAGGAACTGAGGAGCCCTTAGGGGAGGGCCAGGATTGGGTGGGCACTGAGAAGGGGCAGAAACCAAGGACTCCAGGCTTTTGAACCCACTGGGAGTCCAGGGGCCGAGTTCTGGGCCCAGCTCTGATTCACGGGGTAGGTCTCTTCTGTTCATAGCATCTGCTTCCCAAAGGTGACAGTTGAAGCAGCAGAAAGCACACAGATCTGGCCTTGTCACAACCTATTACAGCTCCTCACCATCTGCAGGTCACAGTCCAAACCCATGCCCTGCCTGAGACACAGCTTCCCCGTGTTCCATGCCATCCTTGGAAGCAGGGACTGGGTCATCCATCCCGCAAGTCAAGAGCCCAGCACATGGCAGATCTTCTGAGGCCACAGCTTGCAAAGCCCTGCCTCCACATTTCCCTCCTGGCCCTGGATCATTCATAAAGTGCGTCTCTCTCCCCGCCAGCCTGTGAGCTCTGCTATGTCCCTGCACAGGCTCTGAACCCAAGCTGAATGAATATGTGGGACAGAGACTGAATGAAAGGATTAACTTGGCTTCCAACCCCCACCTGAATCTAGATTCCTGGGACATATACTCTCTTGATTTCTAACCGGGGGGGGAAAAAGGTAGCCCTGACCCTTCCCTGAAGATCAAGATTGTGTGCTACAGGGACACTCCCAGGGACGTGGCTTTCCTTCTGAGGGGAGAGGCCCCAGCAGATGCTAAGGGGAGGCCGACAGCAACCCAGAGCCGCCTCCTCCCAGGCTTGGCTGCAGGCCAACACAAGACATTCAGATTCCCGCTCCAGGAGGTTCCCCAGGGACTCGGCTGGAGGAGATCTCATTCATCTCTGTGAGCCAGGAGCCCTGTGGAGGCAGCTCCCAGATCAGTCCTGGCAGGATATTAAACAAAACTCTGGGTCCCTGTCCCCGCCTGGGAACAGGTACATCCTGGCCCTGTGAGCAGCCGTGCCTCCTAGTCTGACACTGCTCTTGCCTCTTCTCCTGCTTCCTCTGCATCCCTCCCCTGCTCTTTCATTTATTCCCTTTGTTCCTGTCACTCTTCCTTCTCCTGCTGTCTCCTGGGGGTATGGGTCTCCTTCCTTCCTTCTCCCTTGGCCCCAACCTTCCCTGCACTGTGAGACCAGGAGGGTGGAGGCTGAACACCTTGCTCATCACCACCTCCAGAGCTAGCAAAAGGCCATGCCAAATACTAAGCCTGTGTCTCCCCTTTCTCAGAGTGTGTCTCTGCTTCAGTGAGAGAAAGAGAGGCAGAGGCCACAAGACTGCAAGAGCCGAATTCAAATCAGCTGTTCCTGATCACCAACCATGTGTCAGGCTGAGGCTGGGCCCTGGGGATCTGGAGGGGCCCACCCAGGGACCCTCCATGGCAGGTACCTTCACAGATGATTCTCGGACAAATGAGACTGTGAGACCCATGAGCTCGGAGGTCTGAGAGGGAGCTGAGAGCCCTGCAGAGGCAGATGAATGCCCCAACATGGGGACAGCTGAGCAAATGCACAGAAGTGGGAGGCAGGGTGAGCAGCGGGGGACAAGTGTGTGGCTACCAGGCCATGAGGGGCCTGCCTCTGCTTGGCTTCAAATCCTGGTCCCACAACGAGAAGCTTTGCTGCCCTCCCCCCAACTCTGGATAGCAGATGCCACCCCAGCCCTGCTGTGAACTAAGCAGGAAAGACCCCAGGCCACTACTGTGATAGGGCAAAGGGAAGGGGTCTTTTGGCAGTCCAATCCTGGGGTCTACTCACGTTATACGTGTCCTGTGACCCAGGCCTTATCAGTAATAAATAAAGTCAATTAATTAACCTCTATCTGCCTTATATTTCTCTTACTTCCCAGTTGATTCTGTGCCCAGTGAAAACAACTACAGTGATTGGGCCCCCCAAATACCCTCAAAAATAATAACTAAACAAGTAAGCTCTCCCATGTCACCTCTGTGCTCTGCACTTTGTAGGCATTACCTAATGGCCCTTGAAATGAGTTACTGCTCTCCCCCACTTTACAGTTAGGAGGACAGGGGCTCAGAGAAGTTAAGTGACTTGCCCACGGTCTCAGAGCTAGTCAAATGATGGAGCTAGGATTTGACCCCTACCTTCATGACTCTGGAATGAGTGCTGCGGGCCCACCATCTGAGTGGAAGGAAGGCCAGCATCAGAATCCATGTAATTAGTCTCGGACTCCCTGTCCAGTGCTCAGGAGACCCAGAGGGCCCCATCCTGAAGCAGCCAGAGCAAAGCGGAAGTTGGGTTGGTGGATATTCCCGTGACTTCCAGGAAGAGGAGGGCACAGGAATATCCACCAACGTCACTGCTCCAGCAGCATCTGGGTCCCCAGGAGACCAGGACCCAGAGGCCCTCAGGGAAAAGTGACGAAGACGCGGTGGGAGTGGGGTGGACCCTGAACTAACCTACAAGGGGAGTGACAGGAAGTGGGTTTTAACCTGCAGCAATAAGGGCCTTTGATCACTTAAACCTGCACCCACCCATTCTACCAATGAAACGACCGGAGGTGCACAGGCGGACGGTGTCCAGAGGGCGCCACACTCAGCATCACATATGTCATTACAGATGCTGAAGCCCGCGAGGCCAGAGAGGTTAGGAACACGCCCCAGGTCCCACAGCAGGTGGGCGGAACTGCCCCTGGAAGAAGACCAAAGGGGAATGGAGAGGAGGGAAGGCTCACCGTGGGGCAAGTCTGCGGGGGCCCGCGTGCCCGGGTGGATCCTCACTTGCTCCCACTGGAAGTCGTCGTACTGGGCCTGGCTGTACTCACAGGGCACTGCTGGGTCACTCGCCTCCTCGAAGGTGCAGCCAGCTGTGAGGACAGAGCCCATCAGCCCAGGCTAAGGCAGGGCTGCTGGCCAGGAGGGCTCCTGGGCCACTTGCCACGTTCCCCCACTGTCCCCTCCCTCTTCTGTGCTCCTTCCCCCACCCCCTCCCTTTCACCAGGCCCTCCCCTCATGCTCCCTTCCAATAGCAAGTCCTCGCCCACTGGCCTTCCCTCAGGACCTCCCAGGACCTCCCCACTGCTCAACCACCCACCAAAGACCCTCCTTAACAAGGACCAGCGGTCATGGTTGTTATGTCATTGGAACCTCACCACAGCCCATCTGATCAGATCAGGATTAGAAGTAACCCCAATTTATTGATGAGGAAACTGAGCCCAAAAAACCTAACGGACTTTCTCAGGGTCACACAGCTAGCTAGTGGCAGAGATGGGGTTTGAACCAAGATCCCCTGACTACTCCTCAGCACCCCTCCATCGTCACTGTGCCAGGCACAGGGGGGGCCCAGGCCGGGGAGGACCAAGGAACCCTAAGCAGCCCGACAGTGTCTCCTTAACACTCGACCATCACCACCAATCATTTCACGCTTTCAACAAGCACAGTGTGACGCCAAGCACCAAGCAGAGTGTCCCTCAGGCCTCCCCTTAGTCAGGACCGTGGACATTCCTACTAACAGAGCTCCAGGGGGTCTAGTCCTCATCCAAGGTCACTAGACTTAGGCCTCCACTTGCTGGGCTCCTGGATGCCTGGCAGACACTGGGATTTCCCCCATCTGACAGATGAGCAGACTGAGGCCCCCCGAGGGTGAAACCATCTGTCCACAGTACAATAGGGCACGTCAGGAGTGGGTGTGGCATCAGACATAATTGGGATTGAATCTTGACTCTGCCACCTGCCAACCCTAGAGACCCTGGGCAAGCTGTTCTCTTTCTGAGCCTCAGTTTCCCCATCCACACGTGGGGTGGCTGAGAATTCATCATGGGGATGCACTTAGCACCTGTAAGCACTCAGGGAACAGCAGCTCTGACTATGTGGCACTTGTACCCACACAAGGAACAGAGGCAGGATTTGAATGCATGTCAGTCAGGGGCCCAGAATGACACTTCCCACCAGAAATATGAGCCGAGGCAAACCTGAGCTACTTCCCAGCTCAATAAGATGGGATGGTGGGGGATGGCAGGCAGTCACTGGGGCGTGAGTGGCACGTGCCCACAGGCAGCAAGTGACTTCACTTTGGGCTGCTCCATGTGGCTATGCAGGTCATGTGAAGTGATACGTGGAACACACCAGTAGAGCCAGGAACAAAGGGGCTTGCCACTTGCTGGTCTCATTTCCTACTGTACCTCATCTGAGTGTGAAAGGACGAGATGTGGGCGTGAGGCTGGCACCAAGCGGACGGGATAGAGTAACAGCGACGGGGCTGGACCCTGGTTGGGCTCTTTGCCCCTTTGTTAGAAAAGCCAGGTCAGCAGACCCGGGGTCTACGGGAGGCTTTAACCCATCCCCACCGGGAGGGCCTCAGCTCTCTCCCTCTAAAAAGGCCCATGGTGCAGCCCAGCAAGAGGGACTGCTTCCTGTATGAGGGGCACAGCTGGCTTCCGCCTGACCTGGGCCTACCCAGGGGGGTCCCAGTCAATCGCTGAGGCAGAAGGATTGCCAGGAAGCAAAGCCAGGATGGGGAGCCCTGACTGAGGCCCAGGCCCTTCCTGTTCCCTCAGGAGTGACCAGGCAGCTTCTCCAGGACATTTCACCAGGACCCTGTTGGCAGGCCTGGGAAAGCCAGTTCCTTGGCTTCCTCTTGTCCATTCCGAGTCAGGTGACATGGCCTGCCAGGACTCCCAGGTTGAATGACCGACTCAGATTAAGGCACAGACTGAGGTCTCTGATCAAAGCAACCCCAGACTGTCTGACCCAGGAAGGGTCATACTCTAGTCACACGATCCTCCAGACATTCTGACCCAAGTTGGTGAGCCCCAGAGATACCAACCTTAGAGTGGCTCCCAGATGATTCTCTGGTCAGAGTCACCCCAAATTCATCCAGAGGACCCCCCCCAGACTATCTGACTTCAGCCAAAATGACACCAGACTAACTGCAGACAAGCTGACTTTAGCTGGAGAGACCCCTGACCTCTTCCTAGTGACCTGTATAACTGACCACAGCCAGGTGACCTCTCTAACTCCACACAGAGTGACCCCTTAGCCAGAATAACACTTTCTCCCTGATCTTTGGCCATCTCCAGGCCTAGGTCTCTGGGCCAGGCCTAGTTCCAGTTCCTGTCTTTAGTGGGTAGCATCTCTGAGGCCAGTTCCCCAAGGAAGGCCCTGGCCCACAAGGGATGGGAACAACTGCTTTCTGAGCTCTGGGAAAAGTCCCATCTCCTGGGATGCTCAGGAATCCCACAGCTGACTCTCAGTTCTTGCCAAAGAACCCACTCCTGCAGGAGGCTGCTAGTGTGGGGGAAAACTAATCTGACTCCGGATTCCGAGCCAGAATGGTAACCAGGAGTCCCCCTGAACTGTCACCCACCAACACCACCACGAGGGGGCACCAATCGCCACCATGACCACTAGCGACACGTAGCCCCAGGCCACACAGTCACAGTGTATAGAAAACCAGATTTAAACCACCTCTTTATTCAAGAAGACCAGGCACAAACAAAATAAGGCCCTGAAATGCTGTTGGCCACGTGCATTATTAACTCAGTATCGTGCATAAGACATTTGCTTCCTGACAGTACAATACAGTTGCCAGGTGACAGACACCATTAGAGGCACAGGATGAGACTCCACCTGCTTTAGGGATCTCCCAGTCTAAGTGAAGGTGACAGAATGAGACAAAGCAGAGAAGGTCACGACTATGTGTGAGGCAAGGCTTCCTGCAGGAGGCGCCACGGAGCTGAGCCTGGAGAGGTAGGTGGGAGGACCCTGGGGGCAAGGGGCGAGCAGAAGCAAAGGAAGCAGTGAGAAAATGGTCTGTCCGCCACAGAGAGGAGCCCAGGCTGGCTAAAGTCATGGGAGATGAGACCAGAGGGATACGGAGGCCAGACCAAGGTGGAGAGCATTTGGCCTCATTATGACCTAGGGAGCCACAGTAGGTGTTTGAGCAGGGAAGCGCCTGGAATCCAGTGAAATGAGTGATACATGCCATAAGCCACAAGTAGGGAAGGTGACTTCTCCAGGGCACAGATGAGGAGGGGGCTTAGGACCAAGCCATCCAGGTGTCAGATGTCAGGAAGTGGCAAGGAAAGGGACCTCAAGGGCCCCTCTGGATGCAATCAGCACACACTCCAATCACACTCAGAGAGATGCGCAACACCCCTGCAGGAACACACGCACACCCACACAGCCGCACGCTAGAACGTTCACACACACTCCCTTTCCCCAGCCTGGTCTGAGACTTGGGGACACAGTATAAGTTAGGCACACCGAGGCCTCTCCTAGGACACCCATCTCTACAGAGGCCTCTCTGAGAGGGTGGGCTGGAGCAACCCAGGACCCCTCAGCTCCCCCAGCCTCAATGCAAACTGGCCCAGCCACATTCCTCAGCTAATCTCCCCAATCTGGCGGGCGGTTGCCTGAGCAACCGTCAACCACAATTTGGGAAGGCAAGGGGATGGCTTACCCGCATCCGGCTCAGCTCTGGACTGGGTGCTGTCAGGGAGGAGCATGGAAGGGGGGCCTCCAAGCGCGAGGATCTCCACACCTCCATGTTCATGCTTCCACCCAGGTGCGTGTGCCTGGCTTGTGGGATTGACAGGACAGCTGGTACAGAGTAATCACCTCGGAGGCAGGAGACGGGGATACTATCCCTACTATGCCCCTAAATCCCTTTGTGACTTGGGGCACATGACTTGCCCTCTCTGAATCCCAGCTTCCTCACCTGTGCAGTGAGACCATGGTCCACTGCCATTCGTCTGCACTTGTGAATATGCTTGTGAGGAAGAATGACCTCAGGACTGGGAGAGGTCCTCTGGGGGAGAGGTGTGCCAGGCAGGGCCTGGGTGTCCAAAAGCAAGGGTCTTCCAGGCAGGTGCTGCGAGGTCGAGTGTGGATGGATGGTGCCTATGGACAGAGCTAAGCAGCACATTCAGCAGCAGTCATGTGTCTAAGAGGAGGTGTGTGTCCACAGTGTGCTGGGGGATTATGCACATGGGTGCATGTGTGTGCATGTGCGTGTGCATGGGAGTACCACAAGCATCACACACCAGACTAGAAGTTCTCACTCCAGATAGGGAATGGCGTCCGCTGCACCTGCAGCCACCCGCAGTGTTTTCTGAACACCCCGAGTAAATGGAGCCTGTTTGCAATGGGATTTTCATTCCCTTTGGTTTGTCAATAGAACATCCAGTTCCCAGGGGTGGCCCCAGGAGAAATAGAACTTCTCCCAACAGACTGTGAATTCAGGGGCTAGGATCTCACCCAACTGTAGGCTCAGCCCCAACCCTGGCCGGGGGAACCCAGGTATCATCCAGTGACAGCGCTGGCCTATTTCACCATCCCTCTTCCAAGGAGTCCTACCTAGGACCTTCTCCCCCAACCCAGCCTACCCAGGTCGTTCCACCCCAACTGCATGGCAGGCCTACCCAAGCCCCATCTCCTGCTGCCTGAACTGTCTCACAGGCCTTGGACTCCCATCTCCAAGCCCTGTATATGTAGGTGGCTAATAGTGACCAGACCTATTGACCCTATGGTTCCAGCTACATTGAGCTTAACCAGCTGCACCCAGTCCAAGGACCATGATTCCAGCCCTGGGGCCTGAATCTCACCTCACCACTACCAAAGTTGCCAGAGCCTTGACTAACTGATAATAAATTACAGACACGGTTGGCAACCAGATGCCCTAACCACCCAGAGCCCAGCATGACTGCTGCCAGGGAGAGCCCCCAGAGCCAGGCCACAGGCAGAAAAAACTGACCTGGCACCTCCCATAAGAGTCCAACAATGCCAACATCTGGCCATCTCCATCCAGGATGGAAGGAAGCCAATACAGCAGAGGAACTCTCACCAGACCCATTCCCATCTCCTAGACCCACAGGCAGCACAAATCCCAGAGTTAAGCGGTAGGCAGCCATGTCGGTAGCATAAGAGGAAGGCACAGGCCAGGGCTGGACACTGAGCAGAGGGGAAGGGTTGAGTGGAGGGCTTTGCAGTGCAGAGTGGGCACAAAGTTCACGATCCCCTGCAGGGCAAATGCCCTGTCACATAAAGCCACAGTACACAGTAGCGGGCATAGGGCATGTACAGACTCGTGCACTGAGAAAATCTGTACCTTACAGAGGTTCCGAGAAGAGAGAACTGTGAGACCACAGCATGGTGTGTTGAGTGTGCCATGCAGCAGCATCACACGTATACACGCAGGATGGGGATATCTGACGTGTGGGGGCGGGGCACAGAGTGCATAGCCCCCAGCACCTACATCTGGTAGGGCAGAACTGGTCAGAGCCCCAGTGCAGCCTGGAGGTGCTGGCATGACCCAGTGCTGCACAAGGTGTGGCACACCACTGCAAAGCACTGGGCTGGCGCTCAGGGCTGCATGATGGGTACAGGAAGGCAGGATGGTAAGACCAGGCCTCCTGGGGTCCTCTTCCTCTCCAAATACCAACACAGGGCCCAGCACAGAGCAGGTATTCTCACTGAAAGAATGCGTCCAGCACAGGCATGCAGAATGCACAGGGAAGGGAAGGATGCAGAGGACACTGCTGTGTAGCACCCGAGTCCCAAACAGCAGCGCAACACAGAGCAGAGGAGCAGAGCAGGCACAGACTCCAGGAAGGGGAAGGAAGTGGCACAAAAATGAGATGGAGTGAAGACGCCACGTGGATTGGCAGACACAGGTCAAGGGCTCTGGGTCTAGAAGGCCAGCAGAATGCACACAACCCTACAACCAACAGACAGTGCCAGGCAGAGGCCCTCGGCTGCCATCCCGTGCAGTGCACAGATGCAGCACTGGTACTGAACAGCAGCGCTGCCCACAAGAAGCCGGGCCAGTCCCAAAGCCCAACAAAGTGGTCCCAAGCTACAGTCCCTGACCTTGACCCTATGCAGTAAGGGCAGATGTGCACTGCAGTGAGGACACTGTGCAAAGAGGTTGCCCACCTGAGGCTGCCGACAGAAACCTGGGAAAGGCCACCAGCCAACTCTACGGTGGTAACACAAAAAGCCAAAGGCCAAGGTACCATAGGCGGCAGCGTCTGGCAGTCGTGGTAGTATGAGGGCCGGGCCAGGAGGCACCAGCCAGCGCAGTGCGTGCACCCAGGCAGTGGGACAGGAGTGCTACGTGAGGCAAAGGTGCCGCTTCAGTGGAATGCAGATGAGCTGGGCCTGGGAACAGGACAGCCCACGTGCCAGGTGCAGGGCAGGTGCTATGGCAAAAATTCAGTGCAGGACAGAGATGCCACATGCTGCAGAGATGCAGTGGTGGGAGCTCAGCTGGTGGAAGTGCAGTACTCCAACCCAAGGAGCTGTGCCCAAGGCCCAGGAAAGTCCAGATGCCCCATGCAATGCTGACCACCCAGCAAGGCGCTGGAAGGTGGGGCAGGAATACTCCGTGGTGCAGACACCTCTGCGCTGTGCCCATAGAAAGCCACATGTTGATCTTGGATATGGCGCAGCATGAGGGGCTTTGTCCAGAAACCCAGGAGGCCTGGCCTCCCAGGTGACCACCCAGTAGAGTACCACAGCACAGAAGTGGGCTGCAAAGAGACCAGTGTAGGATGACTGCAGGGTGGAGGCACAAAACAATGGAACCATGCAGAGTGGGGACAGAGAGAAGCTCCTGCAGGCCAGCAAGGGATCCCACTGCAGCCATGCGAGATGCTGGGCAGTGCCAACACGCTGGGTCCCAGAAGCCTCACCACAATGCAGCGCATTTCTGTCGTGTAAGGCAACAATGTGACACACTGCAAAAGTGCTGTGGGGATAGTTACAGATGTCTCCCTGGGGAGCCCTGGCAGGGAGGGAGCCTGGACCCCCAAAAACCCTGTGCCTATGGCTCTCCCAGGTTGGGCAGGCTCCCCCACGGCAGGAGACCAAGCCTCGTCTGCCCTGTGGGTTTCTCCCTCTTTGACCCCTCACCCTCCACCATCTTCCACCCCAATGACTCTCCAAGGGCACAGGATGAAGCCACTGTCATCCACAGGGCAGGCCATCCAGAACCGAGCACATTGTCCAGGTATTTATATCTGAGCAGGGCCCCATGTGCTGGCAGACAAACAATGAATTTAAATTCTGCTGAAAATCTTTTGGACAATTAAAGCTCATCCCTTGGCTCCCAGCCCAGGGCAGGGCAGTGTGGGGCAGGACAGGGAGACAGAGAGGGAGACCTATGGGTTAGCCCCTGAGCACAGGAAGTGAGATCGACAAGAGGGAGGTGGGAGAGGAGGGCCAGGCGCAGCCAACCTGGCCAGCCACTCCCTCCCCTCCCTCACACCAAGCACTGCTGCCAGCCTCGACTTTGCCAGAAGCCCAAGAAGAAACTTCTGGGCACACAGGAGGCCTGCAGACATGAACACACTTATCAGCTGACACTTCATGGTGCCTCCGATGTAACAGGATCTGTCCTAGAGAAAACATGGAAACACAGAACACATCCTCACAGTCGGGCACGGTGGCACACACCCGTGATCCCAGTGGCTCAGCAGGCTGCAGCAGGAGGATCACAAGTTCAAGGCCAGCCTCAGCAACTTAGTGAGACCCTAAGAGACTTAGTGAGACCCTGTCTCAAAATAAAAAATAAAAAAGTCTGAGGAGGTGGCTCAATGATTAAGCAGCCTTAGGGTCAATCCCCAGTACCAGAAAAAAATCTCTCTCTCTTCACAAAAGCTCTGCAGTGTAATCTATTATCAACCCCATTTCCCAAATGGGAACACTATAAGGCCCAGAGAGGTTAGTACTAGCCAAAGTGTCACACGGCTAGGAGTGGTGAAACCAGTATTAGAACCCAGATGGTGTGGCCCTAAGCACATGCTCACAACCACCTCACTCTAGGCACACACACAAAGACAGACAGACAGACACACACACACACACACACAAGCACGCTACATTCTGAGCAACATACTTCCCACTCTTCTATCTGGATAAGATTCTCATATCTCCCAGCTGTCACCTCTTAACGCACAACTGTCCCTCATCCCCGTTTGTTCCCTCCCCACTCTCCCCTAGTCCTCAGTGGTTGCCCCCACATCACTTGTGCTCTCGTTGCCAGCTGTCCCACTGCCGAGATGCATACCCATCACCAGACAGCTCCCGTTCCCAGTTGTCCCCTAGCCCCCACCTACCACCCCAACCCCATGTGTGATCAGAAACCCGCAATAACACCTTGTCCCAATCTTTCTCCCAGCTGCGGCCTTCACACTCCCAAAGGTCAGTGACTCCCCGCAAACCACCTTGCTCCTCACCCCTTCACATCCACCCCCAGTCCCTGGAGTCTGCACAATGGAGACCTTCCAAGACTTCCTGAGTCAGCAGCAGCAGGATCCGCTAAGTTGGTCACTGTGGGGTCCTGCCCCCAGCCTTCTTCAGGCAATGGCAGCCCCCGCCCAGAGCCACATGAGGAAGCAGAGCAGCCCCCTGGGTCCCAGGACCTCCCTCACCTCCTCCAAGCCTTCCCTGTTCTCCCAGGGGGCACACCCATGCAAACACCTACCAGGCACCCACCAGGCTCAAGGCCCTGGAGACCAGAGGTGACAAAGAGCCACCCCAGCACTCAGGGGGCTCCTGGTCTAGTGGGGAGAGGAGAGAGAAAACAAAGGCCGCACGTGGTCATACGCGCATTAGGAAGGAACCTGACTTACAGCCCCAGGAGCAGACTGGGAAGGCTTCACTGTGCAAGTGACAGTAGAGCTGGACTGGGGGGGGGGGTCCTCAACAGCAGTCACACTGGGCAAAGGCAGAGAGGTGTGGAAGGGCACAGCAGCCTCCAGGGTCACAAGGATCTATCTGGATCAAAAGGCAGCTGGGTGGGAAAGGGGTCTAGGAGGACAGGCTGTTCACACAGGTCCCTGCCTGCCATGTGTGGCCCCAGGTGCCAGGCAGCCATCAGTGTGGGGCAAGGGAGTGGCAGCACCCTACATGTCTGCCTTAGAAAGGGCTTCTGGTCACAGAGTGGTGGGGGCATTGCAGAGAGAAGCCAATGGCAGAAAGGAGACCAAGAAGAATCTAATGCCATCATCCAGGTGAGAAATAATGAGGCCAGAGAAAGGTAATCACCCAAGAACCACTGAGTGACGGTCCCTGCAGACGAATTTCACTCGCTGAGGAGCCCAGGCCTCACTAAGCTGCTGGGGGCCTCCCCCTCTAGCCCAGGGCTGACAACAGAACCCCCTGCAAGGGTGGCAATGTCCTCCACCTGCGCTAATTAGTACGACCGTAGTTGCTAGCAACAAGTTACTCTTGAGAACTTGAAATCTGGCTAGTGCAACTGAGGGGTGAAATTCTGATTCTAATTAATTTTAACTAACGTAAATGTAATAGCCACATATGACTTAGCGCCACTGTACTGCAGCGCAGGCAGACACTCCTGTCACTGTAGAAAGTCCACTGGGCAAGCCAGCTCTGAACAGAGCTGAAACAGAACCTAGATGGCCCCGCTTGCAGGCGCAGAGCCACGGTGCTATCCTGTGCACCCCCGAAGCTCCCACACCCACACCCACACAGTGAGACACCACCCACCCAGACAGCGCTGCACCAACTCAGGGAACGTGAGGCTTGATCTCCAAATACCCTCACATCAGGCTCCGGGTATCACTGCAGCTGGGTCACCACTACCCTAATTCTAAACCCCGGTCCCACCAGGCCAGGTGACCAGAGAGCAAGCCACCCTGAAACAGCCACACATATGTCCTGTGTCCCAGCCTCAATCACCATCCCCCAAACACACACACCCCACTCTGGCTGCCTGGATGCCAGGGCCACACCCACCCACACCAGGACAGGGGCTATAACCTCACCAGCCCATCCCAAACTCTGGGACTGGGGACTGCAGGAGGGTCTGCCAACGTAGGGTTCTCCCCCCCTGCCCTCCTCCTCAGACGCTCAGTTTGACCGTTAGGACTCCCGAAGCCTCAACAACCGCCCAGGCCTCATTACAAAGGGCTGAGTCTGGGAACAGGGCAGGCCCTGCCAGCTGCCCAGGGTGGGGGAGGGGGTGCCCAGCAGGGAGCCTGGGGGAGGGGCAGGCAAGAGACCTGCTCCCTTTAGTCTCTACCAGGGTCTTAACCTCCTCAACTCAGTTCCCAGGTGACACTGGCCTTTTCATGACATAACACCAGCCCCCCGCAGAATTTTCCAGATTCTTAGAGGGAAAACCTATTTCTTTAATCTCCACCTTCAGTGGAATCAGTGCGCCCCCATCTGGCATCTCCAGCTTGGATCCTGACCCACTTGATTGCACTCATTCTTTCAGGCCACGTATATTTATTTGACTAGGTGGTCCAGGCCTCCCACCTGCACTAAGGATTCTGAAGTGTCCAGTCCCTGTCCTCACGGAGCTCACAGTCTAGTTAGGGGGGACAGAACTAATAAATGCTAATTACAATGCTGGGTAAAATCCAACCAACTCCCACCTCCCCTGGTCTAGGACAGAATAACCAAGGAAGGCATCGGGGGAGAAGTGACATCTGAGCTGAACAGGTTGCAGGGGTGACCTGCAAAGTGGGAAAGTCGGTCTGGGGAGGAGCACAACATGGTCAAGGCGTGGAGAGGAGTGGGCAGGCAGCAAGCATTCAGCAGGCTGTTGGTGAGGGAGTCAGGCTGGTGGGGACACAGGATCAAAAACAAGCTGGGGCTGGACAGGCAGGCCAGGAGCTAGAGCAAGCCACAGAGCTACAGAAGAAGGACTTAACCCTAAAGGCAAGGAGAGCCTTCTGAGGGTTTAAAACATGCCTTTGAGGAAGAACCCAGGCACCGTGAAGGGAAAAGGATGGAGCCTTCCTGCTGGGGAAAGATGGCTAAGGATGGAGGAAAGTGAACAGATGGGAGATCACAGAGGGCACAAGGATAGGGCACAGGATGCAAACAGGGTGGCCAGGAGGAGGGAGCAAAAGGAGGAGGACGATACAGGCCACCCTGCAACTCTAGCTGACCCGCCCCTGAGGGAAGGCCACCCCACCAGCCCAGTTTAGGTGGCGATAGTGTGGAAGGACGGGAGCCTCCAACGAGCAGATACCCAACCTAGATGTTCCAGCCACCAGAAATAGGTAGGAGGCTGACAGGAGCTCACAGTCCCCTCCCCGGCCACTCTTGTGGCTTCCTCTGGAGCTCCCTTCTGCAGCCCTGGGGAGACGGGTGGGCTGCTCAGACAAGCCTTTATTGCCCAATCTGAAACCATTGGGCGCCTCGCCCTCATTCCTGCTGTCCACAATTCCAGTGACCAAAAGGACAAATGAGCTGGAGCACAATGGAATAAATTACTGCCAGGTTTGCAGTAATTCACTGAGAAACAACACAGGAAATGCAAGAGGCAGGCAGGAGCTGGAAACTTGAGAAGTGAAGGGACTTGCCCAAGCTCACACTGCCAGAGACCCTGGGGTACAGCAGCATAATTTAAACACAGGTCCCCCTGGCTTCAAATCACAGTTTCTGGGTTTCAAATCACAGACAATCTTCAAACCCATATTATGTTACCTGGCCCTCAGACAGAGCCTTACTTTACAATCTGCAGCATCCTGAAGGCCACGAGGCAGATTAGAAACTGAGGAGTCAGGGATGGAAGTAAGTCGCTCTAGGTTTCTCTCCCAAACCCCTATCCTGACAATCCCCAGTGCCAGGAGTCGGGACCCACTCAGATGTGTTCTTGAAATCAAGATGACGGTGGTGGGGGTGGGAGAATGTAGAATACCCCACAGGTTTGATCTGGGTGGGGGAGGGGCAAATCGCCGCAGGGCATGGGGGAGGAGTTGGGAAAGGACCAGGAGGCTCGTCGCTCAGGCCACCCTCTTGGATATCAGGAAGTCAAAGCTAAATCTGCGGGTAATGACCCCAGAGCTGCAGGGCAAGGCCCAAGCTCAGGGCCAGCCAGCCCGGTGACCCGGGGAGCTCCGTCCCCGAGACGCCCAAGCAGGCGGTGGGGTCATATATTCCGAGGAAGGCGGTCAGGAGGAATCTTCCAAAGGGCCAAGTTGGCCCTTGCGCGGGTCTCAGCCGGATCCCAGGAGCATCTCCCAGTTACTCCACACCCAGCAGCAGGGACACGAGCGCGGAAGACCTCGGGAGAGGGACGACGGCCTGCGATCCGTGCTCGGGGTGGACACGAAACCATAGGCATACGCAGGCACACCCGACACACGGTCCACAAAAGACACTCCGACGCGCACTGGACACAGACCCAAGCTCTGCATACACATTCAGACCCGCGATCACACTGCCACTCCAAAAAAGACACCAGACTCCGAAAGCCACCCAAAGAATGCGGCCACACAGCAGAAAGAGCTCAGAGACACACGTTCACACTCACTCACACACGTACACACACTCAGGCCCGGCTGGCCCCAAGGCAGCACAAAGTTGCGGAGCCGACCGAGGGAGCGTCCCGGGAGACCGCGGCGGACCCCTGTGCACCCCAGGAGGGG